TATACTTCGCTTGGATGGAATTTAACGCGCCGAACATGACCGAGCAGAGCGCGAGAACTCCCGAACGCAGTTTCGGTTTCGGTCGTAGTTTCGGCAAGTTTGCCGCCGAAACCGAAACTCGTTTTTTTGCCGAAACTCGACCGAAACCGAAACCGAACTTTCGGTCGGACACTAGACATCAACGCTAAAGAAGCCGCGAAAGTCCGAAAATCGTCCTATGCTACATCTTTAAGACAAACCTACAGATTACTATGTAACTCCTATTTCATATTTCGAAAGATTAATCATATAATCCTGTTCATTTGTCTTCCAGCAAAATTTATCGATAAAAAGTAAATAAAAAAAGTTTGCGGTATGTTCAAGATTATTCCGAGTGTGATCCTGAATGCTTTGGAAAGTCTTTTGCAAGAGCCTAACCACGGACAGCAAAAGGAGATTATGTGTTTTCTAGAGTAGCGCTATAAATAAGGAGTTGCGCGAGCGACAGGGCACGACGCGACGCGGCGCGGCGCGACTGTAGAAATTCAGGATCTGTTACCTTTTTACTTTGCGCATTCGTTTAGGGCTGGTTATCCTGATGTTGGAAGCTTAAGGGAGAGACGCCTGGAAAGTTCTCGCGAGTAAAATCCACGGGTTGCAACTCTTCACGAGGTCATTTATTTTCCCAGACGAACGGCCCATGAGAAATGGCACCGCCGGGAATGACAACACACAAACTGTGAATCCTTTCATTTACTGCAAAACATTCCGATTCGCCCACAAATATATATACACACTCACACACGCTTGTTCCACGGATTGCTTATTCAACTTTCAAAGAAATGTGTGACACACGCTTTAAAGTAGCTTATCACGAAGTTCCGGAGGACTAAGCGGCAAATAGAAATAGTTTACCGAAAAGTTACGATTGCTTTTCTCTTACAAAGGAGATTACATTTAACCCTCACAAGAAATAGGGATATGGGTGGAATTATATCTACCAGATGGCTTTTGACCTCCGCTTTTCTTGCATGTTGCTTGAACAGAAGAGCACTATACTGGTTCATATCATACACATAGCTTTCTTGAAAGTCTACGTCAAACATAACTTTAATGAATATTTAATTATTAAAGCAGATAAAAAGGAAATTATTTGAGGATGAAGTAAATCTGCGAGATCTACACAACTGTTATCGTTAATTTCATTTCTATAACGACAAAACACTAAATAATATTGTAAATCCAGGAAATAATAAGTTTTATTGCAGAATAACTTAATTTGGTTTCGTATATGTTGTTAGCAGGACGATCTAAGGATACCTGGCAATGATCAACGATTTCACGAACGATTCTAGACCCAGAAATAAAAGTACTAGTACCTAAACCTTTTCCTAATGTAACTTGTGTCTCATATTCGTTTTTAACTGCATCCAACAGGTTTAGATTTTTGCAAAAATTCATATTTAACACACCATAGATAATATTACTGCATAATATATTTTGATATTTACTTCACGATACGACTACATACGGCTTGCTATTTATGCATTATTTCAAGAAAATAATATTGGAATCATTTAAGAAATCATTTTTCATACATTAATGGAAAAGCGAATCGGTTATCTGTTTTACTTTCTGTTCGGCTTCAACAACAAGGAATAAGTTAAAACAATGTGCACGTAAAGTTCCATAGAACAATCGGATAACGCTTTGCTTCTAATAATGACAATAGTTTGGACGCAATTACACTTAGAATATGTATAGATCGTTTGAATTCCATTGAAGTCGTTTTCGATCTAATAATTGCTTTGAACTCGGTGCTTTAAATACAAATAGGGCTCTCAATTTCCGTATTATTAATATTCCTGTAATACGAAACCATTGTAGTTGAAGACTGTATTACCTACTACGAAACATAGACGTAAGTAATAAATAATTAATTGTTTTACTTTATTTTGTCATCCCATTGTATAGGGTCATTCACCGGAACCATTACTGAAAGATGTTCAGAGCTATATTGTGTTTCATAATTAAAAGTGTAGTTTAATGTTGTTAACTTCATTGTTATTTATATTATTATTTCTTTCTATGCTTTCTAGTAACCCGAATCTCTTCCTTTGTTATTGTTTGTATCAATTTAATGCTATATAAATGTTCACTGCGGTTTTTATTACTAAAGCAAAACCTATAGGTACAATACTTTTTGTGTTCCTCCAATCTGTACTTTGAAGACCTGTTAGTTTGTCCTATACAATGAATTTTGCGATTTCTACAATTTATTTAATAGAAACCACTTATGTATGGTGTAATTAACTAACAGTGAAATAAAGGGAAACCTATTTACATATATTGTTCTAAGGTATCTTATTTAATCTATTGTATTGCCTACATTCGCATTAAGGATCGAAAAAAGGGTCTAATATTATTGACTACTTACATTTTTCTCGAGAGCTTCTTTGAAAGTCACTGGACGATCTCGTAGATCCCTGGCAACTGCATAAAGTTGATGCTCTGGAAGAAATTTCATGTATTTTAATTTATTATCGAATAACTTCAATAATTATGCTTGAATATTTAAGGTGAGGTTGCTTTAATTATGATAAAATTATCATGAAAAACGGACAGACAGACACACGAGTGATTCTATACGGGTTCCGTTTTTCATTCGAACATACGGAACCCTAACTCGAGAACCAACTTAACATTGTAATTAAAAAAACACGTAAAATTTGTACGCTTAATATTGTTTTGTTGAAAGATCTACCATATTAAGTTCAGCCCATAGACTTGTTATTAATTTTGCTGTAATCTATAACTAAAGAACTATTTTCTATATTTTTTTCAAAATTTTATTTAGAAACACTCTACCTATTTTAAAATTATAAATATATTTGAGACCCTTATAACAAACCCTTTCATTTGATATGTCACACGGTACAGTTTGCAAAACTTTTTTTTAAATTTCCTATTGGCCCTCGAAAAATGACCCCCATGTTCAAAATAAATTTATTTATGTTATACGTCCGTGTTTGAGTCACAGAAATTCATATGTGTAGATACTAAATTTCAACTTAATTCGGAACGAAGTCACTGTAACAGACAGACAAACACACGAGAATAGGGTTCCATTTTTCATTCGGACGGAACCCTAAAAAAGCACGAGGGATTATAAATAAGCGCCCCGGTATAAAATTGACGGGAATTGTGAAGCATTATTGACATAAGCGTGTATCCGAATATAAATTAGAAAGAAAGCTGAAGGTTCAAAGGGCTGTGTAAATATTATAAGAGGTTGTTGTGTGACGGTCCTGTGTCTGAATCCCCCGGTGTAGATTTCTGGCAGCGAAATTTAACGTTTCGTCCCGTTCATGTCAGTTTTACAAAGAAGCACTTAAGGTAAACTGGTGTATCCATAAATCTCCACTTCATACCGTATGCCGTTCGCTTGCCTACACACTCCTGTTTCGCTTAATATTTAAAACGCATACATTGAAACTGTGAATACTTTCACTCTGTACACGCGTTTGCAATCTATTTAAACTAAACAGCTCCTTTTCAGGGCGGCACCCGACCTCCCTGCTTGTATAATATACTGAAGAAAGAAGACGAAGACGAAGACGAGGACGAGAAAGTAAAAGAAAGGGAGAAGGCGCTTTTGTCGGCTTACCTTCAAGAAAAAACTAATATCACATTCAAAAGGGTAATAAACCCTCGAGTTTAACGGTGAATAGGTCGATAGGAGTAATTTGTGTAAAGAACCACGATGGCATTCAATTTTTCACCTTGCATTACAACAACGTAACACGTTCAGATACTAGGTGCCTGTAAGACAACCAGTTTCATTTTTTGAAGTGAAACTTCTATATATAGACGAAGAGGCGTTACGGGAGGTGGAGAGGGTAGACGGAATATCGCGTGGTGAGAGGCGGCAGCAGTGGAGAGAAGGTAACGGCTGTATTTGATGGATATATGATACGCAACCGCACGGAGAGTGAGGAGTCCGCTAGAGTCTCGGTGGCGGGTGCTGTGCTCAGCTGTTGTTTTCTTACCTCTGCTCTCCACGTGACTGGGCATCATTGCTTCTGTTTGCGGTCTGTGTAAGAACCAAATCATTATTTTGCAGTAAACCTGTGAAAATGAAATAAATTCGTTTTTCCACTTGTCCGTTGCCATTCGTTTTTCCAATTGTCCGTCGAAGTTTCACTTCTACTATGTGTCCCAGCACACATTTCATTTTTTCATTCGAGAAGATTACCCCATTTATATCTATCTCTGTTAAAGAGCTATCAAAGGCTCTTTCATTTATAAAAATATTTGTACATCCCTGCGAATGTAAAATATTATTATGTGACCTTTAACTCGACATTTGAGGTACAAAACTGGCAATTACATTCGCTCAGTGCCTCAGTGCTTGAATCAACTCGTAGCGAATAAGCATGTTGTGGTTGTCCGCCGTTTAAAACACTTTAGCCGCATTGTACGTAATTGTCCGATACTGACGTCCCTTTACGAGGGTAGGTACGTAGCTCGCACAATACCGGCCGCTTTATCCCATGGATAACCCTAACCCTAACGAACAAACAGGAATGCGCTGTGCGAGTGTTTGAACCTATAAACAAAGGCTTACTCAGACGGAAGCTTGTACCTAATTAACATTGTTATTGAAGTGTGTCTCGAACACATACAATCATTTAAAAAAGGAGTATCAAAATTTACAGGAAACAATTGGAAAATGTAAAATTAGAAGGACTTAAAAATAAAAAAGAATCGATAAAGATATAAAAACTAGCTCAGCCCGTCAAAATTTGGATGGAAGTGCCCGTTGTCAGTTTATAATTTAATTTCGTGGACGTTTTCATGATGTATATATATGCAACCAACTATACACCCAGATAGAGATATTTAGGCCCTCCCACTTTTTTCAAGTGTTTATTTCCAACTTGAATTCGTCAAATTTGCATGCTGATGTTTAATTAATGATTGGGATTAAACAAAAACAATTTGAACAACGAATTTAAGCCTGAACAACACTTTTATAATTTATTCAAATGTTTTAATCGTTAACTAGTTCCCGAATGTTGTATCATCGACTATCTTGTTTCTATTGATTATGATTGCTAGACAGAAACGTTCTAATTGATGAAACATGTGAGAATTTAGTTTCTAAAACATTTAAATTCGTCATTTAAAGCAATTGAGCTTGTTGGCTGGTCGTCGCATTCTTGGGCCCAGTTCGATTATTATCGAAAATGCAATAGCCATCGCGTTGCATTCCTGATTCGAAGCAATTTATAAAAATCCGTCGAATCCTTTTCCGTTCGACAAGAGAACAAAGCACTTTTGAAAACCTTTCTTTTAGTATATATGAGCATCGCACAAAAGGTGCATTTTGCCGGTTCACTTCAAATTCCGAACGTGCTACACGTAATAGCGGCCCTTCAGCGCGGGAGAGGCCTTTCAGCCACTGCGTAAAGTGCATACTGACGTGGACAGCGATACGAATTACATGGTGTGCGCGACTGTTTACTTAGAATGTCTCTGTTTTAATTGTCAGTGTCGATTTTAGACAAACAAGATTACTTTTAAATATTTCACGAATTAGTCGCCATTGCGTCGTCAAACTGTCAAATTTAAAGCATTAGTTGCTTACCTTTACTCTGCACTCATTTAGAATAATTAGCAGCTTTTAAGACATTAAACCAATTAGAGTTATAGCGCTTGGAGATGTGAGGAACTTCGTGGGTCTATCAATATGGGTTCCTCTTAATCGAGTTAATTCTCTAAAAGCATCGGTTATACGTGGGTTGTACTCGATATAAGTGTAATTAAGTTACAACTTCAACTCTCGCCATGTTTTACAGTAGGCACGCACTAATCAATTTCTAATCAGCACCGGTGAGTAACGCTAATAACGCGCTTTAAATTGAATTATTTAATATTATAGAAAATTGCCAGGGGAACGTCGTCAGCAGCTTTACTGCTCAGTTACATTTCTGCACATTTAGATATATGTTTCGAGAAATATACAATTCCTTTATCCTGTTTTATAACTTATTTAAATGTGGAGTTCCTAATACACCATTATTGATGTTATAGGTAGGTACTTCTTTTTAAGTTAGGTTAGATCAGACATACGAAAAACATGAAATTCGCTCGTCAAATCGTAACTTTTACAACTTTAACTACGTACTTGTACTATATGCTTCCCAAATAAATATCAAGCTTGCAGGAGGTGTTAAGGTACCATAATATAAGAAAATTAAGTACCGTTTAAGGTTAGTCCGGCCCTGGTAGGGTTACTGAGGGAAGTACATTACAGCGCTGCATTTCACCATTGTTATTGTACCAGTATTTCTTTTATATTTTGCGACCTTAATGCCACATCGAAGTGAACTTAAACTTAAATTAATCGTTATCGCAATAGGCGTCTATAGATTATTATGTTTACTAGCGCAGTGGTAAGCCGTTGATATTTTACTTTATTAATTGTTCCACAACCGTCACTGTTTACATTTTTCATCGATGTAGTTAGTTGCTTAGTGTTATGGCAATTTCTCTATAAGCTGTCAATTCACGCCCAGGGCCGGCTTCGGATTACAATTTCGTCTGGTATTATTGTAAACCTTTTTATTCCTTAACCACGTTGCTTTACCCACCATGTGATTCCCTATTACACTTAGTTAATACCCTTTAAAGCTTGCTACTTATTTCAGAAACACCGTGTATACTACTCTGTGTTTAATTTCGTAGTGTGTGCTAAGCCTAATAATCCTGAAATAACGGAAATGAACATAAGGTGGTATGTCGTGGTGGTTGTAGTAGTAATAGTTGTGTTAAAAGGAAAGCGATAGGAGGGCTTTTCACTTGAAACAGCCGGATAGACGGGGGTTAGTTCGCGCTCGTTAGAGCTAATGGTGTGTGAAAGGGTAGGGTCGCGAATATAGTGACTATAGCCGACCGCGCAGCTTTCCTCTCTATCGTTTCCAAGATTAGCGAAATGTGCACAATAAGATGTAAGATGTCGGGGCACGGTGGACCGACCATACACAACTTACAAATGCCTCAGAATATCACCTTCTTTTGTTGGTGGCTTATCTTTTGCAGTTTTCTTCAAATGCCGCTTCAAGGCACAATAACGGACCTGACCTTTTTTCTTTATCAATTGGCATCCAGTCAAATACACCGCGCGGTTCATATTCGAGAATTATGATAACCCGTAGGAAAAATTTTCATTCTATTTTTCCTACGGGTATGCTACATGTTTGTAAAAATCTCTGTAGAAATTCAACGAAAATTTTGGAAAGTATCGTCTTGCTACCAAAACTGTATAGTTTTTTTTATCCTTTGAAGTGTGATACGATTCATTAAAAGCAAAGCTGTTACAGAAATGCAGAATATCTAGGAAAGGCATCAAATGTCTTTTGATTTTATTAAAGCTTGAATTTTTTCTTTTGGTGAGATTTTTAATTTGCAACGGAAAAATTAGGTGTATGTATGTGCTTGACAGT